ATACTTTCCGAGATTTAAGGGTGTTAGTTTTTGTTTCGCGCTGGAAGATGGGGATCAAAGTCTTCCGGTGGGCGGCACCGAGATTTATTTTACATCGCGAGTACACTGATCGTCCGGGTGAACTTCTGTGAAACATTCTTATTGGTACGATGAAGTGAGTTTCTCCCTCACGGACTTCTCTCCAAGAGGGAGAACATACTACCGCTCTTCACTAACCGACAAGGCAGCAGACGCGGTGCAATTCGAAAAGTTCGGAACGATTCGCTGAAGAGCCTCGCCGTAACATTCTCGGATTAGCATACTATTCGTTACTCGCCCTATCTCACGAGTGATCGAATGCTCCGAATGCATATTTCTTCCTTTCTCCGCGTAAAACCACCGAACTGAAGATAGATTATTTAATATCGCAGCGACGGTAATTAATTCCTCGGTTTGGACTATTTTTATCTGATACCGAGCACGCCACTGGATATTCATAATATGGGGGAAAGAAAAGAAAAAAACAAAAACGAATTATTTACTAAATAAGCTTTTCGTGTGTACAAACAGTTATAATTATATCAATTCCTATTTTTATACTGTTTGTACAGTTTCGTGCAAACAGTTTCCGTTTTCGCCGTTATTACGCTTGACGTGTAATAAAATATAGCACTAGGAGATTAAATTAATAATAAAAATAAAATTACAATAGTGGGACCATAAATCTGGGCGAACAAAAACATATTGTGTAGTTGTGTATTAAGCCAATTATTTTACAGCCGTTATGTACATAACGGACGGGCCCGCCGTGTGTAAGGGTGCCGTGTGCGTAATATCAGCTTTTATTGCGGATTTAATCGACGGAAATAGAACGAGATTATTTACGTGATTGTATTTAGCTTGTTCTATGACGTTATGGCTGACCGGTTGATTTTGCGAGATAAATGACTAGTCGCGCGTCGAGCCTTGAATAAAGGCAACGATTTAACGCGCGAGCACGGTGCGCGGCGCGATATAAATGTGCTCCACCGACTGGAAACTACTCCGGTTTCGAAGATAATGAAGCGTGCATTGAAAAATGCCAGCTTTTCTAAGCCAAAGCGCACAGCTTACTTCGACAAATCTTTCGCGCAAATTGCCGGCGTTGTGCTTTAATACGTTTTATCACTTTTCCCTCGAAACGCGTCACCGGTTACGTCGCCGGTTTTCGAGATTTTTATTATTCCAACACTTCGTATTGACTACAATACACGTGACGTATGCTAATAGCAAGTAATATTTTGGTATAAGTGATCAACAATCGGAGTAAATAGATTTTGCACATTGATTACGAATAAATTGGATTTTGTAATCAGGTAAACAGATTTTGTAAATTGTGGTGTTTGCAGTAAGAAATTAGTGATGTCCTGATAAATTGTATGGAAGATATTTGTTCATATATAATGTCAATAATTAATTTTTTTATTCTTTGTAATGTACGTTCATGCAAGTCAGTAGTCATAGTCGAAGATTTGTCAGACGTGATCAGCCTCGAAAAAACTGCTTCCGCTTGCTACTTACGGTAGATTTTACCACGCTGCAAGATTTTTCTTTCGGTGTTTACGGAAGGTAATTTCATTTCTGCAAATAACGAACTCTCGCTTTAATCGAGTCCTAAGATAAGATCCGCGAGATCGACGACGCGACGCTATGAATCGTGCACTTCGCGACGGCACGGCTAATTAAGCCGTATTTAATTTATGACAAACTTACGAGAAGAGGAGAGGCACTTGCGGGTAGATCGTGATAGTGCTAAATACATATCTTTAATTAAATTTCACAAAATATAAAGATTTTTGAAAAACTCGCCGATCATGATTTATTAATAATAATAATAATAATTTTATTGAAAACAGAAAAACATGATTACAAGCGGATATATTAGCGGATAATTATAAACAAAATTATAAAAGTAAAAATTATAATAAAATAATTATAATTAATACTTAGATATTACTTGGATAATAATGATAATTATAAAAAAATACATTATAAGATAACGCAATTGCTTCGTCGCATTAATTCTTTGATAGAATTGAATAGAATCGAAATATTTTCGTAATTGGAACTAAATACACAAACTCGCTTACATTTAATACGTAATGAACAATCACCATAGATCGCGATTCTCTTTTATAACAGCATTAATGAATCGAGCAACGCCCAACTGTCATTACGGCTGAAAGCGAGCGGGGAGTGGATAACTCGAGTAAACTCGAACATTAGACGGCGTTCTTACTTAGCTAAGAATCGGGAGTAAACTGCTCTTTCATAAATTAATTGCCATTCGTTCCCGGCTAACGAAAACTTACGACCAACTAGGAACGAAGCCGCATCTCCTAAAGCCGCAGCTGCCGCGCATCTCTGTCGCCTTATTCAGCATTATTATTGAAATGATATTCGGCGCACGGCTCGTTCGTTTTTTCTGTAAACATTTAAAAGTTCGTTAATAGTCGAAGAAGTTGTCAACGGAGCTGCGAAAGAACGCGGGAAAAATGCAGGCGGACTGTTGCATAAATTTCCCCGAACGAAACTTTTACGAAGAAGAATTTAATAATTGCCAAGATAAATCAAGTAGATACGCATTAAAAAGTCACGAGGCTTTCTTAAATTTATAATGGAGGAATTAGTCACTTTGCGTGCTCGTGCTTTTGTAAGGACTTTAACGATCAGTTTTGTTTAGCGAAAGAGAAATTAGTCGAAATAGAACATTTCGTCCTTTTCTTACCCGAAGACCCGCCGCAGCGGGCGAATCATCGGAGTGAACAACAGCGCGAATTGGACCATGAAAATCTCGACCGAAATCCGGAGGACAGAAGATCAGGAGAGAGAGAGACAAAGAGAGAGAGAGAGAGAGAGAGAGAGAGAGAGAGTATA